CATTGATTTCCACTGTGTACCTTGTTGCGACTCATTGCATACCTGCATACATGCTACTACTTGTTGGTGCATACAAGCCATTGTCCAAAAGTGTGGGACTCATGGTGCGTTGCCGCAATGTTGCTAAGTGCCTTATTTTAAGGTGCTAAACAATGAGGTGAGTGTTTTGCTTTGATTAGAGAGATGAATGCTAATACTTCAAATACCAAAGATTACTTAGTTTGTAGAATAAAAACCAACATGAAATGATGTGAAAAAAGCATCAAGCATTTGAGAAAAAAGGATTCGTGATGTGAAACAAAACAGTTCAGATGTTATTACAAGAGCTTCGAGTTTTAGAACTATGGAACTTGAGGAAGAACATGATTTCAATAGATAGAGGCATAGAGGAAGAGATGAAGGTTTATGAATCCTGTGGTGAGGGTAGCATAGGTGATGATAAGCTTGGAATAAGATAGTAACGGAGAATAGATCTTCTCAATGTTGTTTATTCTATAAACTTATATGTTTAATGTCATTTGCATGCATTTGTATAATTTTTCTATTTATCACATTTTTTTATTTTTTTATTTTTAAATGTAACGTAAGTTGAAAATTTATGATTTTTGCCGACACCGTTTGGAGTAATAATTGTTTTATACTACTTAAAAGCTTTCTACATAATTGGCTTTAATATATTGGTTGAAATAGTTTTTATTGACCAGCTGCATGCTGCCAACTAACATCCTTTTTGCATCTGGCTGCACCAAGCTTCATCCTGTAACCTTTACTGTTTTCATACTTATGTGTAGCCACGCAACATCCTGCTACCAGTGTTACCCATAGTTGAGTTGCATCCCGATGCACTCGACTTGCATCCCAGCCTTTGTGGTAGACAATTGTGTGCTTGCATGCAACCACATCACATCTCGCTGACACTATTGTTTTGCACTCAACAGTGTGCTCACAATGCTTTTTTATGCATCTGATACCTGAATTGAGTCTAAATTAAATATACAGAGAGTCGTGCTAATAATGTCTCTTCTTATTATGTTTTTTACCTTAGTCCTATAACTAGGCATATGCCTCTTTCTGGAAAAACATGAACTCAATCATTTGGAATAATAATTTGATAAATTATATGCTGTGTTAACAAAGGAAATACTACAAATCATAAAAAATTCTGCACATGCTCAACATTAGGACTTTTTCTCCCACTGTCTCATTTCACCTGCCTTACCATCAACAATGAACAAAAAATGCATGGTAAAAATAAAAAATAAAGCAAATTGCTTTTGAAATAAAAGATCCCACAAGATGACCAGAAGTTCACATTTTCTTTTAACCTCTCCCACCCCTCTTAAGCCTTTCAATCCAACGAACTCCACCTACACCCTACAATTCCCTTCTACCACACTTACTCTCCCAATCCACCTACACTATTAGACCCACTATCTCCATCTACCACACTATCACCTAGCCTCTCTCCAATCCCACTCACCACTCCAGCCCTACCAACTGCACTAGCCTCTTCAACACCAGCTTCTCGTGCCTTATTAACTTACTAGCCTCTTTAAACCCACAATTTCCACCTCAACACTTCAGTGGCACTGCATTTACATTTTGGCGGCTAATCATAGTTTTTCGGAGTCTGGGTACAATGGCTCCCCTCTTTTTTATGATTTCTCGCATGAATTACTTTGGAACTTTATGATTTTAACAAGCTATCCTAGGTCTATTTATGGAAAGGTTCAGTTGGTGAGGACCATTGATCATATTTAGTCTACAGAATTGTAATATAGTTCTTTTGTTCTTATTTTAATTTCAGTTTTGCATTTTATGTTCATAACATTTTTTTTACCTTGAACGAAGCAACTTCTGAATTTTGTGGAACTCATTCTTATGTCAGTTTCATTTTTTCAAGGAAAAAATAAGTTTTGATGTTTTTCAAAGTATATAATGTTCCTTAAATAATAGTTTGAAGAGAAAATTTGGCTGTTTTGGAATATTTTGGTTGTTTTTTTGAATATGTTAAATTTGAACAATTCTTATCAAATAATGTTCAAGTAATAGAGGCAAGATAATTTCAGCTATATCCTGCGATGTGACGGGCTTTGCTTAAATATGCTAAATATGAGTTCCTTAAGATCGTTTCCTTTATCTTTGGTCATTGAAGTTTCTAAAAATTATGCAATTCATTATTTAGCTTTAGATCAATGAACTAAATAAAACTCATATCTAATATAGTTCTGATTTGGAGTTGTTCTTCGGGGCTGTTTGGTAGCGAATTTGAGGAAGAGTTAAGTGGGATTGAACCTTAAATCATACCAGCTTGTCTTTTTGGATAAGTTAAACCTGCTGTAATGTTAAATTCCTTTTCAACCCCATTTCTTGACATAGAGAAGTTTTATAGATTTAACGGAAGCAAGCGATAGAAGTCACAAATTGGGGGAGTTACCTGCATCATCGGTCTCTCATTGCAACTTTCTGGCCGAGACAGCACAGGCAAGTCGAGGAGAGGGTATGGCACAAGGAAATTTGTGAGCAGGGTGATGTTCACGTTGTGAGAGGGAGAGACGAATATGGTTTTGGAGATTGAGGGGTGGGACACAGGCCTATTGAGAGGCTTGGATGCTGTTGAGCTAACCGAGAGGAAGAAGATGGAGGCTTTGGTCTGTTGTATGCTAGCGAAGGAGAGCTGGGAGATATGGTTGAAGGACTAGGCTTGCATAGGTCTCGGTGAAAAGAACTGAGTATAACAAGAAAGGAGAATAATTATTTTAAATAGTTTAAGAATATTAAGTAATATTAATTAATTAAAAATTGATAAATTTAATTAATTGTAAGTTAGTTTTTAATAATTCAAATGATTATTGATTATTAATTAATTAATATGTTACTTTAAGTTAATTATAATTTATCTGAATTTAATGAAAATTGATATAGGATTTTAAAAAAATTAATTAATGATTAATTATTGAATATTAAATTTATTAAAGATTAATTATCAAATATTAAACTAATTAGTAATTAATTACTGAAATTTAAATTACTAATTAAATAAAAAACTTGTTATCACTAACTTAACATCTTTCAAATGTTTTCTTCAAATATTACTATTTAAATCCTAATTAATTGAACTGACTTAAATTCTAGAAGAAGTTGTTAAATTGGTTCTTAAGATTTAATCGGATTTAATTTATATCATGTCAAATGGTTACTATGATTTAACCACTCCAAGATTTACTAAGTCTGAATTTATAGCATTTACTAAATTATACTTTTGTTAAATCCCGGAAGTTGCCAAACCATCCCTTAAAAAGTTGGGAAAGATGCACTGGTGACACCAACAATTATCTTTCATCATCATGATCGTCACCATCATCATTGTTAGCCATATATTATTTTTTTGGGCCTACTTTACTTGTTCTGTATTCATGATGGTGAGTTTTATATGATTGTTCAATTTATTTTGTCTATTTTTAGCTAATTATTTTTCTATAATATTCCTATAACATTAACTATACTTGTTTTATTTTTTAGGTCATCTTATACTATTTGCTTTTATTATTTTATTTTACATGGATCTTAACATTCTTATTTCTATTAAACTCTGTTTTTTAAAGTGATTCTTCTATTACTGCACCTCTACGAGCAATTTTATAAAATCTGTCTCCATTTTTCTCTTACTGCATAGCAGTTTCTAAACAAAGCCACACAAATTAGCTGCATGTCTTGATTTGTAATTAATCATCTAATGTTGCATACGTAACCCTTTCAGCTTAGTTTTTCTTTTTTTTTTTTTTTTTTTGAGAAGTAATGGCCTTGTGTTTTCTTTTTCTTAATTTTTCCAAATAATTGATCCACTATTTTGCCGCCTCATGTCTGATGTGTGATAGAAAACTTGTGAGCCTCGAGTTCCTTTTTGTGTGCATGTATGTTCCATGCAGTTTATGATGATATGAATCTTTTCAACAGCTATATCAAAGGCTCCTTTAATCCATTTACATATCTGTGAACTCTCTCTACTAAGTTCATATTTGGGATGTGAATTTTAAAAATTTGTCAAGTCTATATGATTTTAGACGGTGGAGAGTTTTATTGTTTTTTCTACCCTTTAATAAAATTATTATCATAGCAATTGCATTTTAGCCTAATTTAGAAAATAAAGGAATATTTATACTGTTTAATTTTGTGTTAAATCAGCTGTACTTCTGTTAACGAGACTTTCAAGTTCTTTTTTTCTTTTCTGATGCTGCTTCATTTGGTTGCTTTGAGATTGAAACCACTTTTGGCATTGAAAATTGGTAATTTCTTCATTTGGTTGAACGTATAGTTATAAATCAATATATATTCTAAATTTCACAAATCTTCTCAAATTGGCTTCAAATATAATGATTTGTTTTCACACCTAAAGTATGTGAAAATGAAAATACTAATTTTTAAAAGTTGTATTCTATTTACAAGCAACCCATATGAGCCCTAACGGAGCTGAAACAGAAAAGCCTTCTATGTTCCATTAAGGGTGATGATACTTAGCCTGATTTATGGAATTGTCTGTATTAGTGGAATTGACTTGAGCGTCACCTTTGGTTTCTTCTTGGAATTAACTTATCATCAGTCAACCTCAAGCAGCTTGCCCACTTGGATAAATATCATTGTTGTTTGTAACCCTCATTTATATAAATATTTTTTTATTTGTTTTATGTTCATTTTTTGAGTAAACCTTTAATGAGCTGTTGTCATATTGGAAAGTGAAAGCTGGATGGTTTTTAACACTCAAGAATTCTGCTTGAGCAAGGAAATTGATAATATAGAGCAACAGCTAAACTTTGGATGCTTTGCAAATTAGTTCTTGCAATAAGACAAATTTACTGTTTATATTCTAGTGTTGCGTTCTCATCATACTTTTCTTTATCTTTTTATATTTCTACACTTTGCAGAGGAGAGATTTATGTTAATCATGCATGGCATTAATTTTTCCATTTATAGTATTAAATGCTGACATGCTCAATCAATAGGTTTCTGAAGCTTCAGTCAGTAGGAACCGCAGTACAATTATTGTACCAGCTGGAAGCTCTGGTGAGGAAGGTTGGGCAGCATTCAGAAACATTCTACTTGAAATAAGCGAAGAAGCGTCCCGGTTCTTCATGCCGAATCAGGTGCTTAATTATCAACATGGAAATTAAGTAGTGAAGAAGCGTCCCGGTTCTTCATGCCGAATCAGGTGTTTTTATTGAGGGCTTGTTTGGGTTTTTTTTTTTGTTTAATTTTTATTTTTTTTTGTTTTTATTTTTTCTTTTGTTTTTGAGAACATGTTTGTAAGTATGTATTTTTCAATTTATTTTATTTTTTGTTTCTAAAAACAAATTTGTATGTTTTTGAAAACTCTCAAAATAACTTTTAAGTGTTTAAAAATAACTAGATTTCAATCAAATAATAACATATGTTTTTTTCAATTCAAAATATAAATAAAATAAAAAATAGAAATAAATAAATAAAAGTGATCCCAAACGGCCTCTGAGCATCAATAGTGTTCTGATTATGTTCTCTTGGAATCAGCAACACCTTGAGTCCTCAGAACGAGTTCCAGGTCTTTCAGATGATGTGGGAGCTGGTTTCATATCAGGATCAGGCCATAGCATTCAACCGGTTTCAGGTTCCGACTTAAATGTTGATAGATTAGTTGAGCTTTCTCCACAGGATGAAGTTGGGAGCATGGGACTATCCAAAGTTATCAGAGCAGACCAAAAAAGGTTTTTCTTTGATTTAGGAAGCAATAATAGGGGTCATTTCCTGCGGATATCAGAGGTAATCAACTAGTTTCAATTGTATCTTATTTCATTATTTTGGGCATGCTGTATGAGGTTAATTGTTATGCGGTTATTGGAAAAATAATTTTAGATATTAGAGTGCACATGAACACTTGGGTTTTGACATCCGAGGAAGTTATCTTATTTTTGCTTGTAATCTACTCTGTCACAGACTTTGCCAAGTGCCAAGTTAATTGGAAGATAATACTCAGTTAATTTCTAGAAAATGTATTGATTTTTTTTCTTTTGCTTTATATTTAGAAGAAGTGGAGTATATTGCAGTGTGGATTTTCGTAGCACCATCTCTTATGGTTAAAGCAAGTTATGCCTAGTGTTATTATGCTTAATCTTATTTGTTTTTAGGAAGATTTACATAAATACCACTCATTTTTTATGTATTTGTATGTCTAACACTTAAACTTCATTTTTTTACATATGTACCACCTAATCTATGCATGATATGGTACATTTTACTTGTAAAAAATAACATATATACCACCTAATCTATGCATGGTGTGGTACATTTTATTTGTAAAAAATAAAAATGGTGATATTTTTGATCTTTTATGAAAGAATTTTTTGGGGGCTTTACTGTCATATTTTTATAAAGATGCTGTTTCCCTGACTCAATTTTATAACCTTCAGATCACCATGGAGGCAGCCCAATCATTGCTTCAGGCCATCCTGAGGACCACCGCTAGAATGAATTATTTCATATTTTGAATTGCTATTTCAATTGCTTAGCTTGTTTCTGTTCATCAAATGAATGGTTTAATGCGCCATTATGTGATTGCTTTTTATATGCAAGTGCAGGTGGCTGGTCCTGATCGCTCGTCTATCATCTTGCCCTTGTCCGCGCTGAAGCAATTTCATGAAATGTTAGGTCACTTTGTGGAAATAACGAAGGACAGGCTTGAAGGACTGACAGGCGCAAATGTGAGGACTGTGGAGCCTTCTCAGAGATGACTCCTTGGTCAGGTGCTTTCAGATCATCCAATCTTGTTTAGCTTTAGTCATTTCTTGTGTTAGTCCAGCGCTTGCATTCGTGTAGAATATGCTTAAATTTCTTATATTTTCTTCATCGTTAGGGCTGACTGATTAATTAATAATCTGTGGTTATTGGGGGTTTGGTTAGAATAAGAATGGGTGGGTTTGCTATCTTGTACTATGTTGCTTCGATTGGCGTTTGCATTGTTATTGTAAAGATAATTCAGCCCTATTTGATTGTTTTAGATATCAGTGATCATTTTTGTGGCTATCGATTAATGTTATTTTTGCAGTTCCAACTTTGCAGGCCTAACATAGTTTTTTTGCTCTGTTAAGATGGAGAAATTATTAGCTGAGCTTAGTTTATGGTTCTTTGTTTTTCATAGATATTTATTTCTGTGTTATTTGCATTTTTATATTTTGAGATCGTATTGAAATAACGATACATAATAATGTAAATTTCCGTAGATTAAGTTTGTTTGGGATAAGTTCTTTTAGCTTTGCTTTTCAAATCTTTGTTGCACTTATGTTTGGCCATTATTTTGTAGCTGTTCTTTTATAATGAATAGTGGCAAGAACTGTGATGTTAATTTTTTCTCAAAATGAAAACATTTATAATATCGCTAAAAGTTTTCCAGAAAGGTAGATTTGGCACAATAATTTTAGTCGCTTTTCTTAAAAAAGTCATTGATAGATAATCTGTGCTCACTAATAATTTCTAATTGAGATGAGAGAAAAATGTGCTGCACTCACTCGTAAGTACTTTAGTTGAGATAACATGTTGACTTCAGATATGTATGCAATTCTTTTGATCTTGATGTAGATTGTTTTGTTAGTGCTAATGAAATTCACTTGTAGACAAGTTTTTCTGATCATTATTTATTCGAATTGAGTTTTTGAGGGTTCTGAGAGGTAATAGGAAGAAGTTGAGCATGGGGAGTTTTGTTAGTTGAAAGTATTGCCATACTAATTCAATTTTGCCATCCTCATTTGGGTATTTCCCTTCCCCTAACTCTTTGTTTTTCTGAATAAAATATTTACCCTCTAGCCTTGGCCGGATGCCAAGTCATCCCTTCATGAAATTGCCTTTTTCCATTTATCTTTAGAGTCTATTTAAGAGCATCAAACTGCATTTTTGGATAGAGAGCTTCTGACTCGCTCTGTGGGCTCTAGCTTTTTTAGCTTTTAGAGATATTGCAAGTTGAATCTAAATCCGCTTCACTTATGGATTGGGTCAATCCTCGAGCGTCCGTCGTATGACAAACTATCGTACCAGCCCTTCCTACTTCCTGATTTGGAACTATTGAGTTTGTGCCAAGGAACTTTCTCTATTGCACTCGTGGTACTCATATGCCATGCGTTAGTACCCAAAATATTTTTTCTGAAGCTTTTCTTTTTAGCTGTGACTATTGCAATGTGGTCTTTTTTTTTTTCAAAATGGGTTATTTTTTTAAATTTATATAACTCAAATCCTTCATATCATGTAGAAATTATCTCTATTTTTTAAAAAGTAAAATATACATTATGAAATATATGAATCAATTGATATTTATCTAATTATTATTTTTCATGAAGTCATCATAAAAAAATGGATGCCTAAATTTCATCCCACTAATGAAATTTTCTTCAAAATTTTGTATGTCATTTTTCGCAAGGCTAGACATTGCTAAAATTGGCGTCCCTGCATCAACCAATGTGACAAATCCTCCACAACATTACCATACAACTCCCACTCTTCCTTCTTCCCGTCCTTGTATTACAACTAATAAATTAATGATCGAACTTAACTCTCTTGATCCTGATAGTTTCAAACATAATAAACCCTTCTTTTATAATACTTTCATTTTTGGTCATTATCTATCTTGAATGACTCGATCATGGCTTCTAATCTCTTGGTAAAATTCTCTATCTTCCCAAAACATCCAAGACAAAAAAAATTCTATAAAAAAAGTTCTAAAGGTAAAAAGTTTATATTTTCCTCCCATGAATGATAGTCGATCATGGCTTCTAATCTCTTGGTAAAATTCTCTTCTTTCCAAAACCTCCAAGACAAAAAAAAATCCTATAAGAAAAAGTTCTAAAAGTAAAAAGTTTATATTTTCCTCCCATGAATGATAGAGGTTTCTATGAGTTGGATAATGTATTTAATTTCAAGGAGCTCATTCACTTATATAAACTTGACCTCATCCATCTCATTAAAACTAAGGCAAGTCAGTCTAATCTGGTAACTTATAGACTCTTTGACAACGAAGGATGCTATAATAACTTCATTGCCTCCCACTCTAGGCATATTTGGCTAATATGATAGGCCTGCAATATCTTCTTTTCATCTTTTGTTATTTATTTCTTGTGGTTTTTTTAATTATTGTTCACCGCGCTGTTGTTATGTTATTAAGTGTCACAATAATAGTATTCTTTTGCGAAACTCTCCCAAGGCCTTTTGTCAGCAACATTTCAAGTCATTGGATTGTTTTTGGATATATTAATTGTTTTTTTCTTTTTCTAATTTTGAAAAATATGGTGGAAATTGCATTCTATATAATAAAATTCGGAATTTCAATTATATGATATTTAACATGAAACTAAAGAATTTATCATATATTAGTCTTGTTTATTCTTGGCATAATAACGAATTGAAAAAACACCATACACATTAAACATGCTATGATTGAAGTTGTTCTTTCCATTATTGCCAAGCCAAAGGTCCATGATGTTTAGATCACTGCCCCTTAACATATTATTGCTACCGCTTCTATAGAATAAATGTTGCAATTTAAGAATTGTTGTGCTCCTCTTCTTACATTTAATAATATCCTCTCCAAAATTTTGTCTCAATTCTTTCATGGTGATTCTATTTACTTTGTGTATAAAAACACCCATACTTTAAAAAATCCAATAAGAATGGAGCAAGACATATATGCCAAACAGTTATTTGTTTGATATAGTCTTTAGAAAGCAAAAATATAATATTTACCATCAACTTGACTTTAATATACAAAACTCATCTCTTTGCATTTTATTCAAAAATCTAAATAATATGGTACCATATTTTTGCACTCTAATTCAAAGAGTCAAAATCATATGATTTTGTTATGTCAAAGATGATATTCATTTCTTATATGGAAAGATTAAGGGCAGGAAAAACTATAATCACATCAAAGAAATTTTCATTGTTATCGAGATTTTCTCCTCTTAGGCCGACATTACCTTTGTGGTTGTTACTAATTTCATAAGCTTATTTAACTTCTCTATTTGTTACCTCATTAATACTCATGATTTTTCTTATGACCACACAATTCCCCAATGACTTCTCGTAGGCCTTATTGCTCAATTAGTTGCGAGGAAATAAAAAAGCTGATTTATTTTGCTAAAAAAACATTATCCTTGGTTGGTTATACCTTAATATACACTCTTCTTCTTAGGATCCTATTTGTAAATAGGTTTGTCATACAGTGATGTGTCTTTTTTATATCAGGAGGCCTCTTAGAAATGTCAAACTAAAACTATTGTCCTGATCCTTAATGATCATGTGCCAACATCCCTTTAGATTATAGGCCTATTTCTTTTTACATCATATTGGACAAAATTATTACTTAGCTTCTTGCAACGAGATTAAAAGTGGTTATGCCTCTCATCATTCATCCATGCCACAACCCAAGTAATGCAACCCACTACATTGACATGTGTCATAATATCAAGAGCATAACAATCAATTAGTTATCCAAACTTTATTTGGAAGAATTTTTTTTACAAGTTTTGCAAATATCGAGACATCATTATATCATCATATGAATGATAAATAAAACACCAACATAATTTCATTAATATCATTAATTATTGAATAAAAGTGAATATAAAAAAAATCACTATCCATAAATAAAATATGTTTATAAACCTACTTGTCAATAAAAATAGATTTAAAATAGCAAGATACCTAAATTTATGATATCAATAATGACAAAAAATCTCTACTTAATCTGAACCTTACCATTTCGTGAAATAACACTAATAGCTGAAATAATAGTGAGTAATAAAATCTTAATAGATCACTCAAAATTTATTACAATTTTTACCATATATATTAAAAAAATAGATATTTTCTAGAATAAATAATAATATTTGCTTCAAGGGAACTAATATGCATGTCAAGTGTTATGTTTAGTAAGTACAATACTAGTATGAACTTAGTGTCAATAGTAGACTTGTTAGAAACAATAATATAAGTAATTATTTTAACATGCTATTAAAACTAAAATAACAAATAATAATAATAATTTATTCTTTGATTTAAAGAAGCTTATAATTTTCCCCTCTCCCCTTATACATTTACTTTTATTAAATCAGCCATTAATCAACCAAAAATAATTGTTGATTAAAAAATTTCAATGAACCTTGTATTTCAGGCAAGCTATTACCAGATTAACAGTTATCCGCCAGAATTTGGTTGAAAATCAAACTTATCTGCTGAAAAATGTGATTGTCGAGTGGTTTGTTAGCCAATAATCACTGAATTTTCTATAATGATAGGAATGCAAACTTGAGATCTTACAGTATGCAGATTCTATTTTTAAATCATGAAAATTGCTAATAAACACAAAAGGGTAAAACACAAAACTTTTATTGTTAAGTCCATAAGAAAATTATAAAACACACAATTCATTTAAGAAAAAAACGAGTTTATTGAATTTTACAATAAGGAAATTATATCTTATCTTATAGAAATGGATTTACTTTTTTGCCCAAGCTCCTCTACAAACCTCCTCAATTTTGGATTCTTCTTTTTTCTCGCAACTTCTTTTACTCTTCATATTGGAGAGTGAAATCCTCAATTTTGGATTCTTCTTTTTTCTCGCAACTTTTTTTTTTCTTTTACTCTTCAAATTGGAGAGTGAAGTTGAATGAGATAAAAGATTTAAGAAAGATATTAATTATAAAAATGGAAATATATTTTTGAAATAAATGCATACAATTATTTTAAAAATATGCATTGTACATAAAAAATGTG